TTGGGGAGGAAATGGGGAGGAAGCATTGCATTCACTCGTTAGCGTCTGCTGCAGGCATCCGTGGAGGGGTGTGGGCGTGGGCCGGGGAGGACCAGGGAGGTATTAAGGGACTTCTCCACCACAGAACAACAGAGTTGGGAGGGGGCTCGGAGAACACCATCCCCTCTCAACTGGGAGACCCAGAAAACAAGACTCAGAAAGGAAGGTGAGAGTCCTGTGGCTACACAGTAAAGTGATGACCCAAAGGCAGGGCCTGAATGCAGGAACCCTGTATCCCGAGGATGCTGCAATTCCAAACTGCTCTGAATTGTAAGAATCTAGACCAGTGGTTCTCTAGACAGCTGTTCCTGTCACGACCTACAGGAACTGTATTAAAGGGTTGCAGTGTTAGGAAGGTAGAGAACCACGGATCTAGACATTTGTTTCATCTCCCCACCTGGACTTCAAGATTCTGAAAGAGAGCTGGGAATCAGATCACCAACCCTTCCTTGCTTCTTCTGTAGTGCTTGCTTGGTAAGGTTTATAAATTAAGCTCCACTACTGGTGACAGATTATCCCGACTGCTTGTGACCAGAGGATAGCTTGTGCCTAGAAGCGCATCTCTGCAAGAAGCTGCAGAGCTCGTGGACAGCAAATGTGGTGGGATCTGCTGAGGGCTCTGGCGCAGGCAGGCTGCTAAGCCAAGAACCGCCTTCCGGCTCTGGTTCTAGTCCTGACTCAAGAACTAACTTGAGAGTGACCTTGGCCAGTCCCTTCTCCTGTGTGTCCATTTCCTCACCCACAGAAGGGCTGGATTTCTCCTCCAGCATTGTTGATATTATTATGGGGACAGCAACTAGGTGATACCCTGCCCCCAATACACACTCCCCTGGCCCAGGTAGGTGGGCCAGACCTGGGGGTGGCTGCTGCTGCCTCTCAGGGTTTCAGCTCCTGCAGCATCACCAGCACTCACTTCCAGTCTCAGGCCCAGGGTCTATCCACTCCAGACAGGCCCTGGGAGATGCCCGGGGCCAGCTCTGAGATTCCACAGAGGCGTCATCTCCTGCAGCGCAGCACCCAGCTGTCCTCAGAATGGATTCCAATAAAGCTCATTTTCTGCCACCAAGTTTATAGCACAACCCCACCTACTGGTCTTAAACGTTAACAAGGCTGTGTTGTGGCCAGAAGAAAGACGGGTGTGGGAGAGGGGAGGCAGCAGTGAGGGGCCTTCCAAGGCCCGGTGCTCACCCTGCCCCTCTGCTATGTTCTTCCTGCTTCTCCAAAGGGGCGCAGGTGAATGGGGGACAAGCTTGGGGTTGTGGACACAACTTGCAGGAGAAACTCAAGGGCAGAGAACAGCACCAGGAAGGGCTGGCAAACAGGGCTGGGGACCATGAAGGGGGACATATGTATTTGAGATCAGATATTCACAGTGACATGGGATATTGCATTCACATCCCGTGGGACCATGTCATGACATGTCACCTGAGACAGGTAGATCTCGTAAATGCCATTCAAGGGGCACAGCATAGGCCTGCTCTCGCCTCCTGGTCTCTCTCTCCCTGCCCGTCTCTCCCTTACCCTTTTTCTGCCCCACACCCCAGAGCTCCCATTCCAATTGATGCTGGAAGAGTCAGTCCCTCAATGCGGAGGTTTCCTTTCACTCATTCATTTCTTCTGAGCACCTACTATGTGTCAAGCACTGAAGAGTCAGACAAAAACGTAGAAGACATGGCTCCTGCCCCATATGCAACGACATAGGGGTCAGGAGGCTTGCACAGCTAACCATGCCTCTTCACACACATGTACTGCAGCCTGTGAGGCGTGCTAGGAAAGTCGTGTAAAGTGCCCAGAAAGAGTCTGTATATCTACTGGGGCATAGAGGCTGCTGGTGAAAACTAGGGGCTAATCTAGGAAGCCTCCCTAGAGGAGGTGATATTTGAACTGAGCTTTGAAGGCTAAGTAAAGATTTCTGAAGGCAGCACATTCCAGATGGAAAGGTTGGTTGGGTACAAAAGGAGGAAGATGGGAGAGTGAGAAGAGTGAGCTCTGATAAAGTAAATGGAGGATGGTGAGAGGGCAGTACCATGGAAATAAAGATGTGGATCGAGACAAGATCATCAAGGGTCTTGTATGTCAGGGCAAAGAGTGTACCCTTGATCCTATAGACAGTAGGAGCCCTTGAGTCTTACTGACTGACATAATCAGCTTTCTGAGAGTTATCACCACTTTGCCCCCCTTAACTCCTATTCAAACTACAAACACAATCAAAAGTCACCACAAAGATACACAAAAATGGCTTGCACAGATGTTTTCTGGAAGAACTGGGAACGGTGTGTGTGTGTGTGTGGGGGGCAGACACACTACTCTGCCACCCTACAGGCTAAGCTGGGCCCTGAGAGCTTGAGGGGCTCCATTCCCACATGGTCTGGCAGAAAGTGAGACAGGGAGATGGGCCAGAGCCCACACTGCCTGTGGAAGATGAGGAATATGAGGGAGACAGCCCAAGGTCATCCTGCCCGATGGCGCCAGAGTGAAACACAACTCAGGCTACTTGGCTCCCAGTCTGGCTGTGTGGTCAGAACCCTGCAGCTTTGGCTTGCCAGGCACAGAAAACTGCAAACTGTCCCTCCATTCCCCAGAATCTTGGAAGAGTCCAGAAACCTCAACCAAGAATTGTATACTCTTCCTAATAGAGGAAAGGGTTTGCTAGATGGGCATCAGGCAGCCCTGGAGAAGGGAGGTCCAGGGAAGATGGAGTTTTTTTGGCAGGGGTTTCTGTTATTCTGGCCTTATCTATCTGTGTGATCCGTAAGCTCTAAGCATCTACTGAGGAAGAGGAGACTGAGGCATGGATGATGGGAAGAGACTTTAGGACTCAGGAAAGTAACCTGGAAAAGCAGTGTGACAGGCAAGGGAAAGCCTGCTCCGTGGGGGACTCAGGCCCCTTCCTGAAATATCTTTCTGATCACACAGCCAAGCCCTGGGCCCTTGTGTGTGCTGGCAATGTGGTGAGCACTGGCTGTGCCAGAGACAGGAGAATAAGCCCATGGCTCTGCCTCCACCTCTCCATGACTCTAGGGCACTGAGAGGGCACTGGAGCTTAAGGAAAACAAAGGCCAAGGGCTGACACACCAAGGGAAGCACAGCCAAGATACTGAGGCCTGCCTGTATGTAACTGGGTCTTAAGAACAGGCAGGATTCTGGCAGGACAGGAAGGGGTAAGAATCTTTAATAGCAGGCCCAGGGATGGAGAAGGTGGACAGGGAGGATCTAATGACAGCATGTGAGCTGCCCAGAGGAAGGGCCATACCCGGCCTGAGAAAGGGAACTCTCACACCAAGATCCAAGAGGAGAACCACGCCTAGAGCCAGGCCTGGGCTTCCTGGCTTCCTCCCACTGGGCATGGAAACTCCCTGTTTGCCAGGGCTAGGTCAAGTGCAGCCCACGCAGCCCCAGTGCAGACAGGCAGCCCAGCTCCTCACCCCTCCCCATTCTCAGTCTTGCACAGGGAGCTGAGATTTCTGGTTCCTGGTTGCACTCCCACTTCCCTCACCTTACCTCCGCCTCCCTGCTGGCAAGTTGCCCTGCAGATTTCTTCCATAAAGAACCGAGGTTAGCTGTCTGTGGTGAACTGAACACAAAACAAGCCCCCCTGGAGTCACCTGCCGCCAGCCAGAACCAATCTACCCATATACCAATCTCCTTCACCCTCCTAGCCCTAGGACTCCCGAGCCCATTCCTATTCTTACTCTTTCAACCTTGAGAATGTGCCTTGGTGAGAGAGGCCGCTGGTTAGAGACCTTGGCCACGCTCACGGTGTTCGGGCTTGGACAGGCTCTCAGAGACTAGGAAGATCTGGGCAAAAGCTAAGCGTGGCACACTGAGGGCCCTCCACAAACGCGCAGAGCGGAGAGCGCACTGCTCCTTCCATCTAAGCCTCTCTCCATCCTGAGGCTCACTCCTCAGCGTGGAGCATCGAAGCACCCCACCCTCCTCCTTGCTGGTTGGAGAACTGTGTCCCCAGGCCTTGCTGGCTTCATGTTGGGAGTGGGCAGAGGACAGCGCTTCCTAATTCTTCTCCCGGAGCTAGCTCTCTCCTCGCTCGGTCAGTGCCCTTCGCCTCCTGGAGTGTCTCCAGCTTGCAGAAGGCCGGCTGCAGCCTCCTTCCCTCTGGTCTGAGTTCCCACACCGGAGGACTGTTCAGAGACCCGCTGTCCCCCACCTGTATCCCCGCTGTCCCATCGCCAAAGCGCGCCAACCCCGAGCCCCTCCTTCTCCCACCCCCTTTCGCCGCGGAGCCCCAGGCGAGCCTAGGGAGCGGACGCAACAGATTGCAGAATGCGAGAGCGCGGAGCCCGCTCCCTCCGCGCGCCGCCCGCGGTCCCGGCCGGAGCTGGTGCCCAGACCCCCGCCCTCCGGGCTCCACTAAGCCGGCCATTTAGATGCAGCTCACAAGACCGCCGGCGGACGAGCACAGCGGCTCCCCCGGCCCCAGTCAGTCCACTTCCCTTCTGAGGACCGCGGCAGGAAGCTTGGCAGCAGGCGGCGCGGCCCCGCACCGGCCTGCGCGCCAGGGGCGGGGAAAGAGACGCGATCCCCGCGGATGCCAGGAGCCCCCAGTTCCGCTGGCTGCAGGGGAGAGAACGGGGGTGGAGGGCCGGACAAGATCTAGAGGATCCGTTGGATCCCTATAGATTTCCGTGGGCGGGCACGCCCCCAGACTCTTTTCCTGGGCCGGGCTGGGTCCCTTAGGCGGGCTCCCACAGCAACGGCTCCCGTTGGAGGGCTTAGGGACTGGAGATAACTCGAGCTGCAACCCGAGACGCCAGGCTGGGAGCGGCGGCTGCAAGTCGGTGGAGGAGGGG